CAAACAACTAGGCTGTGTCATGCCTTTGCATATTCCGACTCTGCTGCTTGAAAGACCTTTCCGCACATTTTCCATTTTGTAAACATGTACCTGTAATATTCTTGGTGAGGGCTTTGTCTCCTCCTCTGCCACCCAGGACTACCTCTTGGTGCCTGAGAGCGCATGTATGTAGGGGAGAAGTTACTAAGTAGAGCTGCAGTGTGTGGAGTGGTGCTGAGGGACTAGAACTTCCATGAGGGGAGGGACTGTGTCTCCTCATTCTGTGCAAAGCCTCTTCTTCTCAGCCGAACCTTTCCAAGGGCCCACCCAGTTGTTCTGATAGAGCTGGGCTCTCTGCATATCTTAGCAGCAAGGCTCTGGTGTGTTCCCCCAGGATCAGGAGATCAAGAAACTAAAAGGCTGTAAATCCTACAAAGCACTAAGGTGGTAGTTTTATACTTCTCTTTATATGTAGTCCTTTGTTTAAATATTTTTGTAAGCCTAGGCTATAATGCCAGTGAAACAGGAGAGGTGATGTGAGGGTGTTCTATCAAAAACCTCAGTTGGGTTCTGTGGGATTCCTTCTAGACATGAGGGACTCTGGGAATGAGTATTGATTGGTAAGGTGTTCTCAGATAGCAGTTCTCAACTTAAAGCCTGTTTGGTGGTGGGGAGATCTAGCTAGGATAACAGTTTGGCCAGTGTAACTAAGGTCAGAGTAACAGTGACTAAAGCAAGAGCCAGGTAGAAGTTAATGTTTCTCTCTCATGTAATAATTCATCATAAACAGTCCAGGGCTCAATGACAGCTCCTGGGTGTTGGAGACCAAGGCTCCTAATGTTGTGCTCCAAAGTAGATGGCTTCCATCTTGAGGACCGGAATGGATGCACCATTTTCCACCAGCCAAGACTCACTCCAGCTAATGTGGTAGAGTGAAGAGAAACTGGAGGGTAAGCTCATTCCCTGGAAGGGCCCCGCAGAGAAGCTGCATACAATACTTCTGCTCACATCCCATTGGCCATGACTTAGTCACGTGACAGCCTCCAGCTCCCGGAGAGCCTGGGAAGTAGTCTTTACGTTGGCAGCTATGTGCACTGATAAAACTCAGGGACTCTAATACTAAAGGAAGAAGGGGAGAATGAATATTTGGGGACAACTGACAGATTGTGCCACCAGGACCAGGCCTAACACAGGAGGGTATAGTCCAAGTGCCTTGGCCCGTCCTTAAATTAATTCACCACTTATTGAGCACAGACTCTGTGCCAGACATTGTGCTCGGCTCTGAGACTAAAAACTAAGTAATACACAGATTCTTCCTTCAGGTCTCTCATTACAGTCTGGAAGAGGCAGACAGATAGGTAAACACCTAGGTTGGGGTGCTTGAGGTTCCTGGGGCAGCTGGGGCTGGCTGGGGATAGGGCATGTGTGGGGAGAGATGAACAGTGCTTGAAAGATCAATAGGTCCTTATCAAGTAACGGTGGATGGTGTTCCTAGTATTCCGAGTCATCCCAAAGGCGTGGAGGGAGGAGGTTCACAGGGCCTGCATGTGGAGAACTGCCTGTGGAAACTTCCAGGTCCTGTTTTCCGTGGGGATGGGGCTGAGCGGGGAGAAGGGAACCATTAGTCCCATGTTCTGCTCCCCACTTGAGTCTGCATTCTTCTCCCCTCACTCACCCACACCCTCTTCTCTGGCCACTTGGTCCAATGTGCTTTCATCTTCACACTTTTCTTATGTTCTGCTGTTCCCTCAGCCTGGTTTGCCTTTCCCTGTACTGTTTGCCAGTCCACATCGAACTCAGCCTGTCAGGTCTAGTTGAGAGGTGTGGCAGGCCAGGCCACAGTATTTCCCTCACTGAGAACTCATTAGCTCTCATCCACAGTCTTGCTGTGGTCGTGGTATTATTCCCCTTTCATAAATGCAGGCTGGTGCTTCAAGAGGGTAAGCGATATGCCCCCGATCCCACGGCTAGAAAGGGGTGGCAGGCAGCAGAGGGCCTGATCTGCTGTCCTCTCTGCTTGTTGGCCTGGGGAGTCTGCTCCGGGCAGCCATTTCCAGCTGCAAGGTCAAAGGAGCCCGAAGCAGGGAGGTAATCAGAGTGGGGGTGGAAATGAGGGATGTGTGGAGATAGGAATCTTCAGCTCAGATGTACAGAGGGGCTTTCTTAGAATTGCCCCCCAAAACACCGAGGCTAAATCCTAGGGCCACAGACACAGTGTGACAAACTGGGATTTATATCTATGACTCTGAATCTCATGTTATTTTATTTTTTGGAAATTTAAAATCTACAAAAAAGAAACTCAATGTATACTAATAGTCTCACCACTCAGAAATAACCACCATTAATGTCGCAAGATATATACTTCCAGTTTTTAAAGAAGAGTCACAGTTTTTCCTAAAAGCAATATAAAATGATTCTGCTCAATAAAAATAATTCAAACTGCAAAGGTGAGAGTGAAAAAATTATCCCAAGTCCTGTCATTTGGAAATTTTTATTACTTAAGTGATACTCATTCTAGACATCTTTTTAGGGAAACAGACAGAATAAAGATAAACAGGCATACTTTTATAAATGGTGATCACACTCCCATCTGATATCACAGGCATTAGCCATGGGTAGCTGCTGACCACTTGAAATGTGGCTGGTTCGAATTGAGATGTGTCATAAGTGCAAAGTACACACTAGATTTGGAAAACTTTTTTTTTTTTTAAGTCAGCTCTATGCCTAACCTGGGGCTCAAACTCATGACCCCGAGATCAAGTCACATGCTCTACTGAGGGAGCCAGCCAGGCGCCCTTGGATTTGGAAAACTTAGTACGAACAGGAATATAAAATATGTTGATAATTAAAAAATGTGGATTGCTTGTTCAACTAACAATATTTTGGATATATTGAGTTAAATAAAAGATACTATCAAAATTAATTTCACTTGTTTCTTTTTCCTTTTTTAATATAGCTACTGCAACTTTTAAAATAGCATGTGGCTTGCATCCATATCTGTTGGGCAGCAGCTATTTTATTTTATTTTTTTAAAGATTTTATTTATTTGGCAGAGAGACAGCGAGAGAGGGGACACAAGCAGGGGGAGTGGGAGAGGGTGAAGCAGGCTTCCCGCCGAGCAGGGAGCCCGATGCGGGGCTCCGTCCCAGGACCCTGGGATCATGACCTGAGCCGAAGGCAGACTTAACGACTGAGCCACCCAGGCGCCCCAGGCAGCAGCTATTTTAAAAATAAAGTATTAATAAGTACTGATGGGAAGAAGGAAAGGAAAGTGAATCTAAGCGAATTGTTGAGCTCTAGATAAATGCTTCACCATGTGGCATTGTTTCCAGAAAGAGTGCAGTAAAGTTTTAACAAGATTGGTGTCGTGTTTTTTTCTTTAAGCATGTATTACCTTGTTTTGAAGGATGGTACTCTGAAGCACTTACCAATTTTGTTACATTGTCATTTTTGCATTGTGTTGGTTTATAGCAGTCCAGTTCTGTTCTGTAACTAGTTCTTATAGGCATTTAGTATTCTCTGTGTCAGTGCTCTGATCCTCGCTGTCAGGCCTTTGCCCACACATCCTTCATCCCTGAGCCCTGGATTTCTTTGTTAGCTGCATTTCATTCTCAGGAATGGCTCATGCTTCTTGGAGGAGGCTGCTTGCTGCCCTTGCACCTGACCGGTGTTACGGCCAGCTCCAGGCCTGTTGGGTTACGCTCTGTGTCCTTGTGTCCTCTGCAGACATTGTGTCCTTGTCTTCTGCGGTAGGATGCTGCTGTGGTCCTGCCTGATGTTCCCTCATCTTGTAGGCTATTTGCTTTTCCTTCTTGGACAACGTAGAGAATGCTTGAGTTCAGTAACTTAACTCAGCCCTTGTTTACTGTGGCTTGGCCCATCCCAGAACACTAGGTCTCATTTCTAAGAGACTATTTTGGGCGTCCCAGTACACAGATAGAGGCATTGCTGAGAACTTTAGATTTGGCAGATTTGGGTCACTGACCAGGAAGGCTGGGAAGGCTCTCCTTATAGCTCACTGCCTTCAGTGGACCTACCACTCAGAATCTCAGTGGGTGCTCCGTGACTGTTTCTTGACTTAATTTTAGATTACCTAAATAATAAGCCAATCTGTTCTCCTTTCTGGGACTGGAATGTTGTTAAAGATAAAACTAGAGTCCATTTTGGCCCCTAACTCCAGTTGAGGTCCTCCCTCAACTGTAGCCCAGTGGGAGGTACAATCGTGGATTTGAGGTATATCCTTCCAGACCTTTTACACTGTGCTTATATTTTAATGCAGTTCGGTTCTGTCGCATCACAGAAGAAATAGGTCATGCTCACGCTGGTGTATGAATTGTTCTGGGTTCATGCAGAACATCTAGATGTGCGGATTCCCAAGAGCTACTTCTGGAGTGAGCTCTTCATTCTAATTAACAAGCCAACGTGCACAGTAATGGAATTGTAACTCTAAGTAGTGTAGTCTTAGGAGTAAAACCTTCATCTAGACATTCCTAGTTGTCAGTGTCTGTATAGCTTCGACTTTTAGGCAGAAACAGACTGCGTGCATTCAGGTCATTTTGACACAAACTCATTTTAAGAATCTATACGAGACATTGCTCCAGCTCACATCCATGTGTAAGACCACAGAACACAAAAGAGCTAGGAGATGTCACTGCATCAGTTTTGGAAAATACATAGTATTATTTTGTACAGATCATGCCGAAAAATAGCATAAGACAGCTGTGTTTTCCTACTGAGCTTGCGCGCTCTCCATGTTAATATGTATCTAGTCTTTCTAGATTCAATAAATGTGTGACAAAGGAATGAGCTACCCCCGTCTGTGTACACATTCTGGAACATTCTTATTGATGAACAGAATTCACTGTAAGCTGGTGCCCACTTGGACTCCCTCTAAGGCTATGAAGTTCCAGAAGGGCCTTGCACAGAGCAGGGGTGTGGTGGTCCTGAGGTCCCCGGGCGGAGCTTCCCAGCACACAGACCATTCCCGGCTCCCATTTAGCTTCTCACTTTGTTCTTTGTAGATGACATGGCAGAGCTTCTCCTCGGGGAGTCAAAGCTGGAGCAGTCCCTGAAGGAACACCCCCTGCGGCAGGGGGCCAGTCCCCGAGGCCCCAGGCCCCAGCTGACCGAGGTCCGCAAGCATCTGACCGCCGCCCTGGACCGCGGGAACCTAAAGGTACTGTGGGTCTCTGAGCTGAGGGGGCCAGTGGGGTGATGCTTGTTCTGCCTCCTCAGGGCAGTGAGCCATGGGGAAGGATGGCCTGCAATGGACCGGGCAGTGTTCAGAGCACACGAGCACGCTGCCACAGCGTGGCTTCTCAGAAGCAGGCCTGCTCACCGTGTGATCGGCGTCTCGGCCCCCTGTCTGGCTGACCACCTTATCGGGGCTTCCAGCTCACTAGGGTCTCTGGTGAGTCTTCAGTGACATGCTATTCTGAAAAATCTTCTCTAGGTGCTTGGAAGAGAGCTGTTGTATATGGCCCAGAGCTCAACCTGACGCCTTGGCCACTTTAGGAAAGAGAGGAGTTAATCAGGAATGCCATTTACCGCACAATTCCTGCCTAAAATACACAGCTCCTGAACGTCCCCAGGCTGCCGTGGCCCAGAACTGCGTGGGGCTCCTCCTGGCGAGCACAAGCCTGGTACTTTGGTAGGGGAGGCCAGGATGGAACCGTCCCTCTGCCTGAGCAATGGCCCTAACCCTCATGGCCCAGGAGACCTGAAGCACTACCCTTCTGCTCTGCTCCTTCCCTGCCCTGTCTTCCCGTCTCTAGACTCAGCTTTCCCTCTCATCACATATTCTTTTCTTGCTTCCTTTGAATCTCCTTTCCTCTCGTTTTTGCTCCCCCTGTGCCTGCTGCCCCCTACACCCGTTAGCTCACTTACGGGGCTCTGAGTTCTTCCCCGCCCTGAAGGCTGATTCGTCCTGCTCTTCGGAGGTCACGCTCCTCCGGGGAGCTGCCTGCACCCAGCTGCAGACCCGTCAGCGTCTTCAGCTGCCCTCGTGCTGTTGTGCACCCCTCACCGTTGTCTCATCTCCAGAACTTTTTTGTCATCCCGGACCAAAACTGTCTATGCCTGAGGCTCCGACTCTCCGTTCCCCCCTCTCTGCCCCTGGCAACCCCCAATCTACTCTCTGTCTCTATAATTCTGACTGCTCCAGGTCCCTCATATAAGCGGAATTGTAGAGTATTTGTCTTTTTATGACTGGTTTATTTCATTAACATAACGTCCTCAAGGTTCATCCATGTTGTAGCATGTGTCAGAATTCCCTTCCTTTTTAAGGCTGAGTAATACTCCATTGTAGGTTTATACAGTGTTTTGTTTATCCACCTGTGAGTGGGCACTGAGATTGCTTCTGCCTTTTGGTACTTTGAATAATGCTGCTATAGTATAATACAGACTTTTTTTTTTTTAAGAGGGTGGGGAGAGAGAGAGAAGGGGAGCGAGAGAGGAAGGGCAGAGGGAGAATCTTAAGCAGGCTCCATGCCCAGTGCAGAGCCTGATGGGGGGCTTGAACTCACAACTCTGAGATCATGACCTGAGCCGAAATTGCGAGTGGATGCTTAACCGACTGAGCCACCCAGGTGCCCCGAATAGTGCTGCCATGAATGTGGGTTTACAATATCTCTTCCAGATCTTGCTTTCAGTTCTTTTGGGCATTTACCCAAAAGTGGAATTGCTGAATCATACGGTAATTCTATGTTTAATTTTTTAAGGAACCTCCATACTATTTTCTGTAGCAGCTGCACCATTTTACATTTTACTTTCTCACCACACTGAGTTCCAATTTCACCACATCCTTGCCAGCATTTTTTATTTTCTGTTTTTTGGTATTGTTTTGGTTTTGGATAGTAGCCATCCTAATAGTTTTGAGGTGATATCTCATTGTGGTTTTGATTTGCGTTTCCCTCATGATCAGGAATGTTGAGCATCTTTTCATGTGCTTATTGGCCATTTGTATGTCTTCTTCAGAGAAATATCTATTCAGGTGCTTTGCCCATTTTTTATTTGGGTTGGGTTTTTTTGCTGTTGTTCAGTTGTAGCTCTTTGCCTTTAACCTTGATGATTTCTCTTTCCTTTTTCTTCACTTCCCATCTCAGAACCCTCCAGGGCTACTTCTCTGGACTTTATTCTCATGTTTATGTACACCCCCCCCCCCCACCGAGAAGCCATGTTTTCCTTAGCTTTACTTTTTGGATCCGTTTTGGAAGCTTGTGCCTATTCCCAAATTGTTGTGTGACCCCCACGGAGGCCACCTCCCTCTCTGGGGCTTAGTTTCTATCAGTTTGAATAGGGTGGGCTGTTGGAGGGGTGAGCTTGGGCCCTCCCAGCTCTTAGATATTCCAAGCCTGTGAGCTTTCATTCAGAGATGTCCTTCCTCCTTGTCATCTCGTCACCTCCTTGGCCCTGGAGCAGTTGGGGGCTTGGGCAACATTTGTGTAAGTGAGTGTTAGTGTTTGTCAGTTGTGTGGCTGCAGGCTTCTGGAAATGCAGGCAGAAAGCCTCCTTTCTAAATGGCCTCTATGTATGTCTGTCTCCACTGGACACAGCTCCAGGCCCCTCAGGCTGGCTTGAGAACATCAGTTAATTACTTTATTTTTTTAAAGATTTTATTTATTTATTTCAGAGATAGAGTGAGCGGGGGTGGAGGGAGGAGCAGAAGGAGAGGGAGAGGGACAAGCAGACTCCCTGCTGAGCACAGAGCCTGATGCAGGGCTTGATCCCATGACCCAAGATCATGACCTGAGACAAAATCAAGAGTCAGACGCTTGACTGACTGAGCCACCCAGGCGCCGCGCGCATCACTTGAATATAGGAAGGTCAGTTTACTAAGCACTTGGTGCTGCATTTGGGCCTTTAAAAACACATATTCTCTCTTTCCCTGTTTTTTTTTTTTTTTAGATTTTATTTATTTGAGAGAGAGAGGATGAGAGATAGAGAGCACGAGAGGGAAGAGGGTCAGAGGGAGAAGCAGACTCCCTGCTGAGCAGGGAGCCTGATGTGGGACTCGATCCCAGGACTCCAGGATCATGACCTGAGCCGAAGGCAGTTGCCTAACCATCTGAGCCACCCAGGCGCCCCTTTCCCTGTTTCTTTTAAAGGGCCATGCCACACTTCTCTTCAGAGTCAGTTCATGATATTCGTCGGTCCTCATCAGTGAGAAAGGGTAGAGGGACAGTGGACACGTGGGCCGTGCTTCCCAGGGATGGCCATCAGACGTCCCTTCAAGAGGCCAGAGGGTGTGGCTGTGTGCTAGGGGAGAAAGGTTGAGGATCATGCTCCAGGCCTGACATCTGGCTAGTTTGTTTCCTCCTTCCAGATCCCTAACTTCACTGTGAAAAATTAACCTTCTGGTTTACCAGGTGCTGATGGTTTTTTTTGCTCTCCACCCAGTGCAGTAGTAAGAACATGGAATTTCAAGTTAGAATTCCTGAGTTTGTGTTCCAGTTCTAGCTTTATAAGCTGTGTGATTCGGTGAAGTTACGTACCTTCTCTGAGCTTCACATTTCTCATCCATAAGCATAGTTAGCTGGGGGTTGTCTTGAGGCTCAGATGTGGCACCAGAGACATGTCATTTACTGCGATGTTATTGGTTCTATCTAGAGAGATTTTTCTCCTGTGGCCATTTTAAAGCTTCCTCTGCCGTATAAAGAATGTTCCAAAGTCGCCCAGCTTTTGCATGGGTGTGTTGCCCCAATAGCTGGCTACTGTGAAACTTGTTCTCTTCTTGACCTTAAATCAGTACGTCTCCTGGTGGGGCACTTGCTCAAGCCCAGTGCAGACAAGGTGCCCACAAAATACGCACGGACTGAAACAGGCAGGACCAGAGCAAGGTAGCAATGTGGTGGGGCAGAAGGAGCCTGGCCTGGGAGTCAGGAGACCTGCTTCTCAGTCAAGTCAAGAAAACCGTGTTTCTCCTGGGCAGGGCAGCACAGCTCTGCTGGGGCCGGTATCCCCAACCCTGCAGTGGCAGCCTCCGTGTGGGGTCGCCAACTAGACTCGCTCCGGCAAGGCTCTCCCAGTGCATCCACACTGTGCCTTTGCACTCGGAATTTTGTTCAGGCTCCTGTATCTTTTACATCTGGCCTTGTAGTTTACTTTTCTTTAAAAAAAAAAAAATTTTTTTTTTCAAGTTGAATTAAACATCTTTTTCTTTTGGTAAAATATTATCTAACACAAACTTTGCCATCAAACCATCTTAAAGTGTACAGTTCTGTGGCATTGAGTACATCTGCACCGTCATGCAGCCTCTACCACTGTCCATCCCCAGATTGAAGCTCTGGGCCTGGTAAACACCAACCTCTGCTCCCCTCCCCCTTCTGTTTGCTTTTTAAACCAGTGGTCCCAGGGCTGGAAGGCCTAAGGGAGGAAGGAAGACAGCCTTGTCTGCCAGGAAGCCTTTTCTCTGGGTGGAGAACCCCTGTGGTGGGACTTTTTTTCATAGCTCTTTTCCTCTTCTCTTAAGTCTGCTTTGATTTCTCTGTTTGCAAAGATAATTCTCATTTCTTGCATTCTAATTTTCTTTCTCTCTGGCCACTCAAAACCCCCTTTTTTTGTTCCTTTCAGGGCGCCTGGCTGGCTTAGTCAATAGAGCATGCCACTCTTAATCTCAGGGTCATGAGTTCAAGCCCCACATTGGGCGTGGAACCTACTTAAAAAATAATAATAAAATTTAATTTACTTTAAAAAAAACCCTTTTGCTCCCTTCCTTCCCTTTGCTGATTTTACCATCTCTCTAATGCTGCCCGTTGCCCCTGCTTCCTTTCTTTTGTTTTTTAATTTTTTTTAAAAGATTTTATTTATTCATTTGAGACACAGAGAAAGAGAGAGAGAGAGCATGAGCAGGGGAGCGGCAGGCAGAGGGAGAGGGAGAAACAGGCTCTCCACTGAGCTGGGAGCATGTTGTGGGGCTTGATCCCAGGAGCCCGGGATCATGACCTGAGCCGAAGGCAGATGCTTAACCATCTGAGCCACCCAGGCGCCCCAACCCCTGCTTCCTTTCAAAAAATACTTTATGATTTCACTTATATGTGGAATCTAAAAAAAAAAAAAAAACAACAAATGAATAAACAGACAAACAAAAAGCAGAAACAGACCCATAAATACAGAGAACAAAGTGATGGTTGCCAGAGGGGCGGGGGGGTTGGGGGTGGACACAATAGATGAAGGGGAGCAGGAGATACAGTTGTGGACTGAATGAGTCCCAGGAATAAAAGGCACAGCATAGGGAATGGAGTCAGTGATCTGTAACAGCACGGTATGGTGACAGGTGGCGGCTGCACTTATGGTGAGCACAGCAGAGCTTAGGGAGTTGTCCAGTCACTATGTCGTACACCTGAAAAGTGTGTGACATTGTGTGTCAACTATACTCAAAAAAAGAAAAAAAAAAAAAAAGAAATGCCCGGAAGCTGGCGATCCTGGCGGACAGCTGCTTTGCCATGCTCTGACTGGTTACCTAGCATTGGCCACCCCGTCACGGTTAACAGAACGGTGCGGCTTCCTGGCATGCTCCTGTAAGCAGGAAAATCTAGCCTTGCATAGCCTGGGTTCCAAGGAGCAGACCTGCGAGAGGGTGATAAATCTGTCTCCTTATATAGCAGGCTAGGCTGTCTCCTCTCTTCCTGCTGATGAGTGCTGGCCAGGGGGAAGGGCAGAGGTTGAGGCCAGTGGGGATGGACTGGGGAGGCCAACCTCTCCTGCCTGGAGAGGAATGAGGGCCCATCAGAGGACGAGGGCTAGAGCTCGCAGCCTCTGTGGGGGGTGGGGAGGACCAGGGTTCAGTCACCTTACCCAGTGAGAATGGCTCAGTGGGAAAAGTTCGCCCCTGGAAAGAAAGCAAGTCCTGGGTTTTGCACCAATTTAGAAAACCTCTCTCTTTGGGTTATTTGGGTTATAGTCTTGTAGCACACCCCCAGGGCAGCGGGCAGGATGCACCAGGATGTCCTTTTTTGAGACAGGTGCTTGTATGTTTTGTTCAAAAAGCATCCCTTCATCCTTGGCGCAACACAGCCAAGCACGGGGACCTGTGGGGAGCCTCAGTGTTCGGTTTCATTTTGTTTTACAGCCACTTTCTTGAAGTGGAGTTCATATGCCATATAACTCACCCATTTAGAATGTACAGTTCAGTGGTTTTTAGTATATTTACAGACTCGTGCAGTCATTACCCCATTTTAGAAAATTCTCATTGCCCCCAAAATAAACCCGTACCCATTAGCAGTCACCTGCCATCCCCCACCCTCCAGCCCTAGGCAAACACACTAATCTACTTTCTGCCTCTATAGATTTGACCACTCGGGCCATTTCATATAAGTGGAAGCATGCAACATGTAGCCTCTTGTGATTGGCTTTTTCACCTGCCATGGTGTTTCTGAGGGTCATCCCTGTGGTAAGCATGGGGCACTGCTTCCTTCCTCACTGTGGCTGGGTAATATTCCACTGTGGGGCCATACCACATTTTCCTTATCCGTTCCTCAGTCAGTGGGCATTCAGGTTGTTGGCAGTCGCAGGGCCATGGCAAACGATGCTGCTGTGAACATTCGTGTGCGCATCTTTGTGTGGAGAGCCCCGAGGCTTTGTGGCAGCAGGTGTCGGGTCCCCGAGGGAGCATTACTCCTAGCATCGTAGGAAAATGTTTTTCTCTCTCCTTTTCCTTCTAGTCAGAGTTCCTACAAGAATCCAATCTGATCATGGCCAAGTTGAATTATGTGGAAGGAGATTATAAGGAGGCTCTCAACATCTATGCCCGGGTGGGCCTCGATGACCTGCCGCTGACAGCCGTCCCTCCCTACAGGCTGCGCATGATTGCGGAAGCCTACGCCACCAAAGGTGAGCCTGCGCCTTCCCTCCCGGGAGGCTGTCCCCTGGGGCCACGCTGCGTGGAGCCCACAGGCCAAGCCTGTACCCTGGATCAGCACCTCCGCATGGTGTGGGCCCCGCCACACCCTGTTCCCTCAGACCCTCAGTTCTTCAGTTACCCCTGAAATAAATGAGGGGCAAACATTTTAGTAAAGGGTCCTGATAATTAATATGCAGTGAAATAGGAATTTTTTTTTCTTTTTGGTAATTAAGACAATGCACAGCACACGTCAGGATTCTTGTCATATGGCCACTTGGCCACATGGCTGACCAGTTTTATTCATTATTGCCACCTCTGGGCTAATTTAATTAAGGCTGATTGGTCCCTGCAAATGGCTGTAACAGCCAGTCATCCAGTGTTTAGCTGTGTGCGTGGGGGCTCCGGGGCTGGAAGGAAGTGTAAACGTCAGCCCGGTTGCCAAGAAGGAGCTTGCAATCCCATGTGAGAGGATGCAGTCCCACGGAGAAGAAAATGACAGACGCAGGACACACACATTGTTTGACTTTTCCAAACTGCCACTTCCTCATCTGTGAAATGGGTATAACCACATTCACCTCATAGATTTAGTCTAAGGATCAGTCAAATAATGTATGTAAAGCACTGACCACAGTACCTGGTGCATACTAAATGCTCATCAAATAATATTTTAAAATATCAGCCCCAAACAAGGCAGCAGATGGTAAAAGTCAGGTGGCTAACAGCTTTTTAGAGATAAGAGAGGTCACACAGGCCCACAGGACCAGGAAGGCTTCCTGGAGGAGGAGGGACACTTTGAATTGGAAAGGCCATCGTAAGAGAGGGAGCATCTGAAGCAGCTCCTCTCCCTCCTGCCACCTACTGTCCAAACCATGCATTGTGACTGACTGTGGCCAGCACAGAGGCCGGGGCCCTGGTCACTCGTGTGCTGTCAGCTGTCGGACTCGGTTGTCCTGCGCAACGGTGAACAAAGACCCAGCCTGAGGCACACTTAAGAGCTTTGTTTCAGGGGTGACGTATTCAACCTGTTCCCTGGGGAACCTCAAATACTGCCAGGTTCATCTAATTAATCTTCGAAACCTCCCTGCGGGCCGGGGAAGGATGCTGTCACTCTTGGACGGGCACTCTGGCACTTTGGCTGGCACCGTCCTGTGAGGCTGGGGGTGCCACGGGGCGTGCTGGGGTGTGTGCCACGCAGCTGCCCCCTTCTTCGTGGTGCCTGCTCCGTCACCTCACATGCCTTGGGCTTGGGGGAGTTTGTGTGTGATTTGGGGCCAGAAACGATCTCCTGCAAGGAGAGCAACGCTTCACCAGGCAGTTGCCGGTCACCCGGGGCCCAGTGGGTTGTCTCCAGGGGTTTTGCTAGTTGCAGAGGGGGGATGGCTCTGGGGTCTGCTTCGCAGCAAGAGCTCAGGTCCTCGTATCAGCTCTAAGACAGACTGGTGGTGGCAGCCATCTGCAGGGGGCACTGCCCGCTCAGCCTCGTGGCTGAAGGAGGACAGGAGAGGGCAAGGAGGACGGGAGACGTGGTCCCTGGGTCTGGGCCTGCGTCATACGTGGTTAGCAGTGCGCCCCCAGCTGTGGTGGGAGGCTCCTGGGAGACCTGGCCCTGGCCGGCTCCTGTGGGCACACATAGCATCACACGCGTGCAGGAGAGGCAAGTGTTGCTTGTGCCAGAGGAAGTGGCCTGCAGCCCAGGTGGCGCTGGCCCCGAGAGCCGGCGCCGGCCAGGTGAGAGGCAGTGCAGAGGGGGGATTCTGAGCACCAGTGCTTAGCTGTCCGCCTGGTCCGGCTCCCACCACCATCACGTACTGGCTCTGCACGCCTCGGTTTCTCCATCTGTCCAGCTCTCCTTGGGTTGTCTTGAGGATTACGCGAGATCATCTGTATCAAATGCCCAGCACATAGTGAACATGATCTAAATAGTAGCGTAAAAGCTGAGTGTTTGTTCGGGTACTACAAGAAGTGACTTACAGTAACTGAAAAATTGTCCCTTTAATTTGTGGAGATGCCCAAAGACAGGACAGTTCTCTGAGGAGTTCAAGAGGCTCTTGGTCCTAACTCTGGGTAGCAGCACTCTTTGGTTCTTCTTTCTTCTTCAAGGTCCTTGAGAAGTTTTCAGGAGAGACTGTGGACAAATATTAGACGAATGCTAGTATACGGGGTTCTCTTCTCTCCGTTGTGAACCACGAGCCTGCAGGGGTCTGAAGCAGGGTTGGTGTCCTCAGCTCAGCGTTTCCAGCACTTTTGAAGTAGTTGCTGACTTTTCCAAATTGAGACCATCCAGTTAAAAAATTGGCTTTCTGGCTTCTTCGGGAAGAAGGGAAGGGCTGTCCCCTCAGGCCCCCTGGGCAAGCCCTGGCTGGAGCTGAGCGCCCAGCGCTCACCTCTCCCCTGACCACCGCATGCTGCTGTAGGCTCGGAGTTCGCCTTTTATGGGTCACCTGAACTTTTCCACAATCTCCAGCGGTCTGATTGGACCAGGGCTTTCCGCCAGAGCCTGAAAGTATCACTCCCACATCTGCTCTTCCAGCCATGGCTGCGAGCTCTTCCCCTGGCCAGGTAATGTTAGCCTTGGCTTATTGGGAATCTGCAGCCAACATCATTCAGGTACCAGTTAGGGCTCTACTGTCTCTTAAATCCTCCAAACCTGTAATTTATAGACAAAGGAGATGAGACTGGGCAAGGTGACTGGAATGCCCACTGTGTGCCCTTTATTTGGGTATCTCAGCCAGTCTTTATCACCTCCCTATGAGGTGGGCTCTGTTACTCTTTCCATTTTACAGATGAGAAAACTGAGGCACGGGGGTTAGATAAGCTGCCCAAGGTCCCGAAGCCAGGCAATAGATGAGCCAGGACTCGAGCCAGAGCCCATGCTCTCCTAGCGAGAGGCAGAAGGGGCCTCAGTCTGGAGCCCATGTTCTTAACCATTCTGCTCTGTTGGCATGTGGATCAGAGCACGCTTGGGCCAGGTGAGGTTTCCTCATGTAGAAAACACTCAGATCACTAGAGGATGCCCTTGATTTGCACATAGACACCTCTTGGCAGCCTCACCTTCATTGTTCCTCCACTGTAATTCCTGCTCCTTGCCCAGATTTCTTCCTGTAAATTCTGTTCCTCCAGTTCGTACTTCCTGTCTTCTCTGATGGCCTCTGGGACTCACCTGTTCAGAGTCAACCATATTCACTGCTGTCTTTGCTCAGTAGATTAGTAGGTGACATGAAAGTCATACCAGAATCAGTTGTCCTGGTATCAGACGCCCCTGCAGGTCTGTGAGTTCCTCTAAAGGAGGAGCTGTTTGTTTTGTTTGTTTGCCATCCTCAGAACTCGGCACAGGATTTGGCACATAACTGGTGCTCAGTTATTGAGTGAAATTTGTACAAGTTCCCTTGCTTGCATTTTTACTGAGATGCCCATCATGTCATTCAAGTGATCTGGGTGCCTTCACTCCTAGCCTAGCATGGTGAGATGCGTTTTCTTTGTAGATGACATACTGGGCATATTTCAATGATTTAGAGTCCTTCCCTGCCGATTATGGGCAATACCTCCGAGAGTATGCTGACGTCACACCATAACAGAGCCTGACATGGATCTCTTTTTGAAAGGTTGTACATTTCCATTCATTTCCATGATCAGGGACTTCTGACATAGATCTCAACTCCCCCCACTATCCCCCCAACTCCTTCCTTACATCTCATAAACCTAAGCAGACAGAGAGTGGGAATCGAGGAAATGGAGAAACTCTAGCTTCTGGTAGTACTGGTTTAATCAAGCGAGTAGACATCTTTGCTCTGGGATACAGATTGATGTAGCAAATGAAATCTCCAGGACACCAAGTGGCCACAGATGTTCTTTTCACAAATGGAAAGGCTGGGGAATAGCGGACACATGGCCACTGTCTATTTTGGGACTTAGATGTGCTGGACACGGGGTGACTTTCTGCAGATCGGCCAGTGGGAGCTGGAAGTGGCTTGCCTTCCCCGATACGGCCTCTGTAAACAGCCTTGGTATGTACCCTGTTGTCTCACAGGGACTGAAAATGCCTGGGTTCCAAGATGAGGGAGTCCTGGAACAGTCCGCCTGGTCACAGCTGGTGGGGCAGCCGTGTTCTCCGAGGTTCCTGTTCCTCCCCATCCACTAGGGTGTTGTCCTCATCTGTGTGATTGAAGCTGCTGTGGTGGCGGGATGCAGCTCGTGGAAGGGGGCAACGAGGGAGACGTCTAGGGTGAGCAGAAGTAGCACGGGTCGGTTCTGCTGACAGCCCGCTGGGGAGAGGTTGCTATAGCACCTTAGCCACCAGGGACCTGGGAAAAAGAAGACTGGGGGCTCACGTAAGCCTCTGATTTGACATGTCCAGCAGAGCTTGGTCTCTCACCCGGCTAACACCTGTAGGAGGGGCAGGGAGAAGGAAGTAGCCTGCACCCAGGCTAATGAAAGGGGACGTGGAGGCCCTGAGGCTCTGGCGCCCAAGAGGAGGGGAATTATGAGCCTGGAAACAGTGGCGTGGTATTAAGCTTCCTTTCTAGATTGCGCGGTACCAAGCCGAGAAGGACCGACGGCAGAGGGCCAGCGGGGCCTTCCCAGGCACCCCTTGTACAGGCATTTCCTCTTTCCACTGGGGGAGACTGCCAGGGAGGCCAAGGGACTCGCCTGATGACGCCCAGTAAGCTGGAGGCAGGGCCAGGATGAGGCAGGAAACCTTCCTGTCAAACTGCATGACCTCCGTTCCCAGGTGGAGAAGGCAGCACGGGGATGGGGAGCTCTACGGAGCCTCCCATTGTCTCTTTCCTCCTTTGCTCCCAGGTTTGAAACTGCTCCTTTGATGCGCTGGTTAAGAACCTGGGGTTTTGGAGCCAGACTGCCCAGGTTTGATCTCTAGCTTTGTCACTTATTAGCTATAAGACCTTGGGCGAGTTCCTTTCGTCTTCCTGGGGCTCAGGCTTTTTTATCTATAAAACAGAGGTAATTATAGTATCTATGTTATAGGGTTATT